TGAGTCCACAGCAAACAAGATCACTATGCTGACTTTTGTATTTGATCACACATCGGACCCTTCCCAAGTGTATTGGCAAGTAATGTGTGAAGATTTGAGTAGGTGGCCTTTTGCAGCTGACAGATGGTAATTTTGTCAGTGCTGATTGTTTTTAACTGCAGGCCAAGGTCTTTAGGCACTGCACCCAGTGTGCCGATCACCACTGGGACCACCTTGACTGGCTTGTGCCAGTCTTTGCAATTCAGTCTTTAAATCCTCCTATCGTGTCAGCTTTTCCAATTGCTTCTCATCAATCCTACTGTCACCTGGGATTGAAACATCAACGATCCTTGCTTGTTTTTTCCCCTCCACGATTGTAAGGTCAAGAGTCTTGTGCTCCAAAACTCTGTCAGTCCAAATTCAGAAGTCCCAGAGTAGTTTGGCATGTTTATTTTCTGTAACCTTCTCCAGCTTGTGATCCCAGCAGTTCTTTGTCGCAGGCAGATGGCATTTGTGGCACAAGTTCCAATGAATCATTTGAGCAACTATGTTATGCCTCTGCTTGTAGTCCGTCTGCACGATCTTCCTGCAGCAACTGAGGATGTGATCCATCATTTTGTCTGTTTCCTTCCAGAATCTATCTACATTTATTTATTTATTTATTTATTTATTTATTTGGAGTGCTTCTCAACCCCCCATTGTCACCATTGTTGTTCATCATTGCAATGGTCCCACTGTCAGTAATTCCACAGAAAACAAACCTGGGCTACCAAATGGCAAGAAATTCATCAAAAAATTTCCACTTGCTGTACATTGATGGTCTAAAGCTTTATGGATGTGGCTTTCAAATGGAACATGGAAAAAGGAGACAAAGGAGGGCCTGATTCTGGCAGCCCAAGAACAAGCCATTAGAACCAATGCCATCAAAGCCAGAATTGGAAAGTTGACGACAGATCCCAAATATTTATACATGGCTATCATATCTCCTCTCAGCCCCCTCTTCTTCAGGCTAAACATGCCCAGCTCCTTAAGCCGCTCCTCATAGGGCTTGTTCTCCAGACCCTTGATCATTTTAGTCGCCCTCCTCTGGACACATTCCATCATTGATCCGTCATTGCTGCTGGCACGGAGACCTACACAAACACACCTTTGTACAGCCCTCTTCAAATCAAGGCTTGTTTTCTTGTTTTGCTCAGCGAAAGGGGCTGAAAGTCCTGGAGTCGGGCCAGTGCTTCCCTCTCCTTTCCCTGTAATTTTCCCCCAAAGCGACGGAAGGTTTGTGCCACATGCTTTTGGGAAAATGTCAGCAAAGTCAAAGGATGTGGGGAAAAGAAGAAAACAGAATACGAAAAACACCATGGTCAGGAGAGGCCCCAAATTACACCCTCTCCATTGACTTCCCCAAAGAATGCCAGGGACCGAGGAGAGTAAAAATAAACCTCGGAGCTGCCCTACATTCCCGGTCACAACGGCTTTGGGGCCTAAATATAGATTCAGAAACGAGCAGCTCATCTCTCTGCTCTCCTTTATGGCGGAAACGCTGGCTGCGTTGAGCAAAGCAGTCCTACAAATCCCAGTTAACGGAAACTGGGAACCAATTGGTTAGCCTGCGGAAAAGTGGAAGCATTCAGTGCATTGCTGACTAGTACATCCTCTTGCTTCAACAGCTCTGTTCCAGCCAGGATTTAGGGCTCATCCACACTACAGAATTAATGCAGTTTGGTACCATTGTAACATCCATGGCTCAATCCAATGGAATCATTGGTGTTGTAGTTTAGTATGTTCTCCATTTCGTCCTCCTTTCATTTGGATGCTGCGCTTCAGCGCTTGAGGAGTGTCTACACTGTAGAATGGATTCAGTTTGACACCATTTTAACTGCCAAGGCTCAATGTTATGGAATCATGGATGTTAAAGTTTAGTATGTTCTCCATTTCGTTCTCCTTTCGTTTGGATGCTGCACTTCAGCACTTGAGGAGCATCTACACTGTAGAATGGATACAGTTTAGCACCACTTTAACTATCATGGTTCAATGCAATGGAATAATGGGTGTTGAAATTTGGTATGTTCTCCATTTCGTACTCCTTTAGTTTGGATGCTGCACTTCAGCACTTGAGGAGTGTCTACACTTCAGAACGGATGCAGTTTGACACCATTTTAACTGCCCTGGCTCAATGCAATGGAATCATGGTATTGAAATTTAGTATTTTCTCCATTTCATACTGTGATGAAGTGTAAATTTTTATCTATAGTTATGTATTGTTATAGATAAGTGTTTGTATGGGTAAGTATATAGTATTGCATAATATTGGGGGATGGTAGCCAGCTTAACTCGCTTTGAGCTGAGTTGCTATGGAGATAGGGGCGGAGCCAACTGCTACTTGGCAGAGCAGCCATTTTGAAACAGTTAGTCTGTGGTCGGTGAACTGCAGAAGTGGCTGGTTCTGTTGTGCATGGAGAACCAGTGAGGTATCATGTAGTTAAAGAACTACAGGGGAAGACTGATTCTTTAGTATTAAGAATCAGGAAGGTTTTGGCTTTGAGCCAATATAGTTTAGATAAGTCGGGTGACTTATTTATATTGAAAGTAATGGTTGTGGAAAAAGAGGGGAAGCCCTAATAAGCATCTTTATTGTAACAGAACCATCATAAAGAAAGGATGAGCATGTGCCTGAAACAATCTGTTAAAGAAAGAAACATCTTTTTAAAGGAACTAAGTTTGAGATCTGTTTGTTAGAAGAATTAGACCTCCTAAGAGTTATTTAAGAACTGTTATGAATGTAACCTTTGAAGATCTGTACCTCTAAAAGAAAGGAAACTTTGAAACCATCAAGCTTCTGTACCTCAATAAACTTGTTACAGTTTCTTTTCAAAGTCAAGCCTATGTTACCATTCCTTTCCAAGTCAAGTCACACTACATATTGAAGAAAGACCAAAGCAACATTACAAGCTATTGGTTGTGTCATCAATATAATAAGCCCTCACAAAGAGGTGGCTCCTTTTTACCAACTCTCTACATATTGATAGTAGTTATATTTATACATCCTTACAATTTGGTGGCATCATTACAAATAAGTGGCCAAACCTTTACAATTAGTAGTAGTAATATACGGGCTCCTCCACACATACTCCTTTTGTTTGGATGCTGTGCTTCAGCGCTTGAGGAGCATCAACACTATAGAATGGATGCAGTTTGGTACCATTTTAACTGCCAAGGCTCAATGTTGTGGACTTATGGAAGCTGTAGTTCCACAAAGGCCTTAGTTAGCTTTCTCTGACAAAGAAGGCTAGTGCCTTCCCAGACTACAAATCCCAAGATTTCACAGCATTGAGCCATGGCAGTTAAAGTAGAGCCAAACTGCCTGTATCCTACAGTGTAGACGTACCCGTAATCCAATGCTCTGCTTTGGCTCTATCGGACAATACGTGAATCCACTTCTGTTCTCTTTTTGACAAAAAACAAACAACCCATTTAAACTCATTTCGGTTTCACTGGTTAGGCCCCTCCTTGCACCAACGATTTCAGTTTTATTTTTGCTTTTCGCCTCAATGTGGTTGCATGCTACCGAGGTTTTTCAGTGCGTTCTGTGCAAACGTTTAATGATTCAGCCACTGGTCGAATCCCTCTGATCTTGAGTGTCCTTAATGTCTGAAACAGCACCAAATCTTCTGTTTTACGGTGTTCAAAAAACTGCAAGAACAGCTGCTTTCTTGGCCAAACAGCAAGGGGGAAACCTCAATCCAACAAAGGAAGAAATGCAAACAGGAGGCAAGAAATCCAAATTTCCTTGTCTCCAGTTGCTGGAGAAATTGGAAAGCAAAAGACGACAGCTGGTTCGGGGACCCAAGCTTTTCCCGTTTCTAAATACAGTCCTCTTTCCCCCTTCATTGGGTACATCTCCACTGTAGAATTAATCCAGATTGACATCACTTTAAGTGCCATAGCTCAATTATAGTTTGGTGAAGCATCAGCACTCTTTGGCAAAGAAGACTAAAGAGCTTGTAGAAGGACAACAGCCATGAGCTATGGCAGTTAAAGTGGCATCAAACTGCATTCATTCTGTACTTACTTACTTAGGCGATCCCTTGTTGACCGAGTAAGTTGGTCCTCCAAGTGTCCAGGCAGTGGGTACGTGGGTGACTGTGGAGCCCTATTCTTGACCTGCAGTGAGGGCATTGGTTTCCAGGTGGAAGGTGGTCCCAGTCTGGGTTGGCTTGACATCCTTTCCTCTTGGCACGTTTCTCTCTTTCGCCCTCCATTCATGCCTCTTCAAATTCTGCAGCATTGCTGGTCACAGCTGACCTCCAGCTGGAGCACTCAAGGGCCAGGGCTTCCCAATTCTCAGTGTCTATGCCACAGTTTTTAAGGTTTGGCTTTGAGCCCATCTTTAAATCTCTTTTCCTGCCCACCAACATTCAGTTTTGCATTCTTGAGTTCGGAGTAGAGCAACTGCTTTGGGAGACGGTGGCTGGGCATCCGGACAACGTGGCCGGTCCAGTGGAGTTGATGGTGGAGGACCATGGCTTCAATGCTTGTGGTCTTTGCTTCTTCTTCCAGCATGCTGACATTTGTCCGCTTGCTTCCCAAGAGATTTGCAGGATTTTTCGGAGGCAGTGCTGATGGAATCGTTCCAGGATGTGACGTCTATAGACAGTCCACTTTTCACAGGTGCATAGCAGGGTTGGGAGGACAATAGCTTCATAAAGTTATTTATTCATTCTGTAGTGTAGATGCACACAATGAAGGAGGAAGGCATTTTGAAATGGAAGAAAGCTTGGGCCCTGAACTAAAAGGTATGGAAACTATTATTAGTCCCAATAGAGCCATTTATTTACCTATTGCTGGACTCACCATTCAATCATTCACTCTATAAATTTGGCTGGGAGTAGCCCATAATATTGCATCTCAATCAAAGAGATAAAAGTGGGAAATTGTTGTTGTTGCTGTTGTTATAGGTAGAAAGAACTGGAAACCAGCTATGCATAGAAAAGAATAAACACAAGGCTTTGATAAATACTTACGCCTTCCGCCGTGCTGACATCTCGCCTGTTTCGCCCTCCTGAAATCCAACGAGGAGTAACAAATTCTCCCTGCGGAGATGTCCCTGGAAGCAAACAATACACATATCAGTCTGTAATGCATATAAATAAGTCGATGCATATAAATAAGTGGCGCAATGGGTTAATAATATAATAATAATAAACTTTATTTATACCCCGCCACCATCTCCCCGACGGGGACTCAGGGCGGCTTACATGAGGCCAAGCCCGGACAAAACACTTGTGCCGGAAGGGCTGAAAACCGACAGGTCACAGGTTCGAATCCAGGGAGAGCGCGGATGAGCTCCCTCTGTCAGCTCCAGCTCCCCATGCAGGGACATGAGAGAAGCCTCCCACAAGGATGGTAAAACAACATCTGGGCGAACCCTGGACAATGTCCTTGCAGACAGCCAATTCTCTCACACCAGAAGCAACTTGGAGTTTCTCAAGTTGCTCCTGACACAAAAAAAAGTCCATACACAAAAAGGCTCATAGAATCATAGAATCATAGAGTTGGAAGAGACCTCATGGGCCATCCAGTCCAACCCCATTCTGCCAAGAAGCAGGAATATTGCATTCAAAGCACCCCTTACAGATGGCCATCCAGCCTCTGTTTAAAAGCTTCCAAAGAAGGAGCCTCCACCACACTCCGGGGCAGAGAGTTCCACTGCTGAACGGCTCTCACAGTCAGGAAGTTCTTCCTCATGTTCAGATGGAATCTCCTTTCTTGTAGTTTGAATCCATTGTTTCGTGTCCTAGTCTCCAGGGAAGCAGAAAACAAGCTTGCTCCCTCCTCCCTGTGGCTTCCTCTCACATATTTATACATGGCTCATCATATCTCCTCTCAGCCTTCTCTTCTTCAGGCTAAACATGCCCAGCTCCTTAAGCCGCTCCTCATAGGGCTTGTTCTCCAGACCCTTGATCATTTAGTCGCCCTCCTCTGGACACATTCCAGCTTGTCAATATCTCTCTTGAATTGTGGTGCCCAGAATTGGACACAATATTCCAGGTGTGGTCTAACCAAGGCGGAGTAGAGCATGGGGAGCATGACTTCTCTAGATCTAGACACTAGACTCCTATTGATGCAGGCCAAATCCCATTGGCTTTTTTTTGCCACCACATCACATTGTTGGTTCATGTTTAACTTGTTGTCCACGAGGACTCCAAGATCTTTTTCACACATACTGCTCTCGAGCTAGTACGGATCTCAGGGTTGGGAGAAACCACCAGGTTCATCCAGTCCAACCCCCTACTGCCAGGAAGGAAGATCACACCCAAACCCTCCTGACAGATGGCCATCCAGTCTCTGCTTAAAGACCTTTAAAAAGGGAGACTCCAACAGACTCCAAAGCAGTGTATTCCACTCTTGAACAGCTCTGACCCTCAGGAATTTTTCCCTAATGTTTTAGTTAATAGTTTCAATCTACTGCTTCGTGTCCTAGTCTTTGGATCATTAGAAAGCAAACCTACTTCCTCCTCAATGTGACATCCTTTCCAATATTTAAACATGGCTCTCAAGACCTGGTAAATCTACAACTCCCATGATTCCAAAGCATTGAGCCATTGCAGTTAAAGTGGTGTCAAACTGCATTCACTAGACAGAGTAGATGCACACCTCATTATCTCTCCTTTTTGCAGAATTTTCTAATCTGCTGCACCTCAAAGGAGAGAAAACGTCCACATTTTGCAAAGAGAGGAACAGAAAATCACCACCAAAGCTTATAAAAAAGTAATAGAGGGGAAGGAAAAAGAGGAACTGAAGATTTGGTATTCAAAACAAACCAGTCAACAAACCGAAGCACTCTACACTCCTTTGTCGGACAGAAGAGATTTCCCTAATAAACTTTGCATTGTTTTAAAGGTTGTGTTGCAGTGTATTTAAGGTTATGAACACTTTGAGTCTCCATCAACTGCGAAAAGTGAGGTACCAACAACAACAACAAAAACAACAACAAAAACAACATTGGGTTGTTGTCTTTTCTGGGTTGTATGGCCATGTTCCAGAAGCATTCTCTCCTGATGTTTTGCCTGCATCTCTGGCAAGCATCCTCAGGGGTTGTGAGGTGTGACGGCACGAGTGGTGCCACCTATATGTAGAACTGTAAGTTGCAAGATTTGAACTGTTGTATCATGCCTGATTTTGCCTTTTTACCCTATAAATGTATAATTGGATTGATTGGTTATTTATAGCTGTCAATCAATGTTGTTTGCACCATTGAATTGCTTCTCCTGCTCAATTGTTTGACCCCACCTCTTCCTAGAGAGCAGGACAGTGTTTCCTTTTTCATTCCACCGTCAAACTTTCTATCAGATGGACATGAGAGAGAGAGACTTGGTTCTGAAGCCCTTGATTAAGTTACCTCTCAGCACCAATTCTGAGGTTCTTACCCTTGAGACTTATGCTTCATGTTCAGATCAACCTGGACAATGTTGAGAAGTCCCAAGCACCTTCAAACCAGTTCTTTGGCACCAGAGGAAGGTTTTGTGCCTCCAAATATAGGCCATTGGAATTGGGGTTGTGATTATTCCGATATTCACAGCCATTGAGAAAGAGGGACCTGGAAAAGCTTCTCAGCTGCAAAACTCCTTGGACCCAAGACAACCAGAGACTGTAATGTATATTTCTTTTACCCCCTTTGAAACTTCCACCTTATTGCCTTAAAGGGATAACTCTTTGTGAGCAATGAAACCTATTTTGAGTTATCTACAGTGTTTTGGTCTTTGGGCGTTCCAGTTTTCCTAAAGGAGGGCAAGAAACAATCTCCTGGGGGAAAGATGTCACGTCCATGCCGCTTTCACTAAGAGTTATAGCCCCAGGCGCGACAGCACATGAGGTCTGTTAGAAACTAGGAAAATGAGGATTATATATCTGTGGAAAGTTCAGGGTGAGAGAAAGAACTCTGGTATGTTTGAGATAGGTCTGAATGTTTCAATTGGCCACCTTGATTAGAAATAGCCGCTTTTCCATTTTAATTTTTGCAGATTTGGTTATTCACAGATATGGCAAATATGTTCTCCCGAGGGATTGCTGGTTCCCCCAATACAATTCAATCATCATCTTCTACCACAAAATGGCCTAATGGAGTGCCCAAGAATTCCCAGATGTAACACTTCTTTAAATCCTCCAATCAGTTTGACAATAAATTCACCTTAGAGGCACTGCAGACTAATTCAACCTGAGAAGTCACCCATAGCTGAGCACCTGATGAACCAACCTGGACACAGCATATTGGTATTTGAGAACACAGAAATGCTGGGCCGCTCTGACAATGACCATACCAGGCTATACAGAGAAGCCATTGAAATCCACAAGAAGCAGGTGGACAGTCTCAACTAAAAGGAGGAAACCATGAAAATGAACACCATCTGGCTACCAGTATTCAAAAACACAGAATCAAGACAGTAAATAAAGAGCAACACTCAAAAACCTGAGAAATTCCAGACAAGAATAAATCAGGGTCAGCTGACACATTCCAACAAAGGACTCCCACAGGCAGCAACCAGCCAGGCTTTGAAGCTGCAGCAACCAGCCAGGCTTTAAAGGTAGGTGTGAATGTTTCAATTGGCCACCTTGATTAGCATTTAATGGCCTTGCAGTTTCATGGCCAGGCTTCTTACAGCCTGGGAGAATCCTTTGTTGGGAGGTAAGAAGACAAGTTTTGAAGCTGCAAGGCTATTCAATGCTAATCAAGGTGTCCAATTGCAACATTCACACTTGCCCCAAGTAGACAAAAGTTGTTTCTCCCACCCTGGATATCATTCCACAGATACATAAACCTCACTTGTCTAGTTTCCAACAGACATCACTACAACCTCTGAGGATGCTTGTCATAGATGTGGGTGAAACATCAGGAGAAAATGCTTCTGGAACATGGTCATAAACACACACTATATCTATCTATTTATCTATCTATCTACCTATCTTTGGAAAACAAGTATAAGGGTTAACACCCCTGTAGTGTTTGCTTTGCTTTCTGTGCACCTGTTCAGAAGATTTGGCCTCACTTTCTGTCCCTGCAAAAATTAGATTGTGGAAGATTGGGCTTTGAAGGATCGGAGAGAAAGCTTCATTGGGGACCCCTTTCCCCCATGAGAATAACTCTTCCAGGAGTGGATTCCCCTTCCTTCTAAAGGATAGAGTTCTCTCACTTCCTGTTCTCTCACCCCCTGTTCTTAATTAGGAGTCGGATGTAAGTTGGATGGATGTTTGTAATTCGGGGACTGCATGTAGTGGTTTATTTTTAATATTTGCAGTTTTGGCATCCTGTCTTGGCTTACTATGCTTCAAATGGGGTGTTTTCCAAAATCTGTTGTTATGTTTACAGATTACTGGGTGGATGGGGTTTATGGCTTCCTTTGTTTTCATCACCACATTCAGCACTGGGAGGATATGCAGCAAAAGGGCGGTGAAGTGCAACCGCCACATAACCACGGAGAACAGAGGTACACAATGCAAAATCTCAGCCCTTGAATCAACAAATAGTCCACTCGGAGTTGGCTTTATTATCATACAAAGAACTCTTGTTCTTTTCCTTTTCACAGAATCTTAGAGTTGGAAGAGACCCCGTGGGCCATCCAGTCCAACCCGATTCTGCCAAGAAGCAGGAAAATTGCATTCAAAGCACCCCTGACAGATGGCCATCCAGCCTCTGCTTAAAAGCCTACAAAGACCGAGTCTCCACCACACTGAGGCAGAGAGTTCCACTGCTGAACAGCTCTCACAAGAAGTTCTTCCTAATGTTCAGATGGAATCTCCTTTCTTGTAGTTTGAAGCCATTGTTCCATTGCATCCTAGTCTACAGGGCAACAGAAAACAAGCTTGCTCCCTCTTCCCTATCACTTCCCCTCACATATTTATACATGGCTATCATGTCCCCTCCCAATCTTCTCTTCTTCAGGCTAAACATGCCCAGCTCTTTAAGCCACTCCTCATAGGGCTTGTTCTCCAAACCCTTGATCCTTTGAGTTGCCCTCTTTCCTCTGGACACATTCTAGCTTAGAATCAACATCTCCCTTCAACACACTTTACCTGTGATTCCAGGTGAAGTGGTCTGACCAAGGCAGA